ATAAAAATATATATATATTTTTTAAAAAAGACAATCTTTCTAACAGAGCTTCAAAAGACTGAAAATATAGTTTTCAGCTACCAATATAGGAGAAAGATTGGATGGCTAAGTACTATTCAAGGTAGTTGCAATCTGTTAGCCACCCAATCTTTCTCCTAGATTGTTAGCTGAAAACTTTGTTTTCAGTCTTTTCGTATGCTTTAAAAATATATATATATTTTTTAAAAAAGACAATCTTTCTAACAGAGCTTCAAAAGACTGAAAATATAGTTTTCAGCTACCAATATAGGAGAAAGATTGGATGGCTAAGTACTATTCAAGGTAGTTGCAATCTGTTAGCCACCCAATCTTTCTCCTAGATTGTTAGCTGAAAACTTTGTTTTCAGTCTTTTCGTATGCTTTTAGAAAGATTGTCTTTTAATTATTATTTAATTTTTTTATTATGCACGATATAAATAATGTGTACAATACATGCCTAAATGTATGTATTTAATCAGTGATTGCATTTACATCAGATATATTTGTACTAGTTACACATTTGTCCATATACATGTACACAAATTCAGTCTGCCTGTGCAGACATAATAACTGTGCACATAATTAGGCAGCAATTTGAAAAACAAACAGATGTAAGTACTAAAGGCAAAACAAATTTATTACTTGAGTTAAAAAACTCTATTCCATGCAAAAAAAATATTATTGACTAAAAGTAAGTTCTAACCAACTGCATCAGCAAGGACAGTAGTTTGAGTGAAACTGTTAATGTGGAATTTGTGGAAGAAGTCAGTTGTCTCATGGAGGAAGCTGCACCTTCGTGTGATGAATGGTTTTAGCATGGTTTTTATAAATCTGGATATTTCTTTAGTAAGCATGCCAGGGCCAGAAGAGATGGATTTGCTTGGGATCCCATGTTTGTTTCTTGGGAAAAACACAGAAGGTCCCCTGAGGTGTGTTCATTGGGGGTGAGGTTGTAGAGTTTCTCTTGGAATTGTTTGGGGAAGGATTTTATGACATCCTTAAATTCCTGGGTAAATTATGGTATGGAGAGGAGGTGGAGTCAGACAGTTGCTGGTTGGCCTTATTCAGGAACCTATCACAATTGAAGTCTACAATGGTGACCCTTTGATCCGAAGGTTTAATCACTCTCTGTTAGTTGAGTTTCAGAAACTATACAGATGTCCTCTCAGCAGTGGACAGACTGTGGTGAATGTGGTGTTTGTTAAGGATTTCCTCGCCATTTTTTCCCCTAAAGCAGGGGTGGGGAACCTCAGGCCCGGGGGGCGGATGCAGCCTCCGGCTTACCTGGATCTGGCCCCTGAGGCTCAGCATTGGGGAGCCTGCCCTGTTGCTCCAATCCTCCGTCACACACCCACAGGGCTGAAGCATACAAAATCTATTAGCCTGGGCCCCCCTAGACTCTGGTGTGCAAGAGGAATGTGGGGAGTGTCTTTCTCCTCTCAGTCAGGGGCTTCTTACTTTACTCCTCACTTGTGTGAGGCCCTCGACTGATTTTTCTGTGGGTCAGCAGCCCCAGACCCAAAAAAGGTTCCCCACTCTGCCCTAAAGGATCAAGAGCGTGATAGTCTACTATGGGATTTCTTTTCCTTAAGAGTGTCAGTGGGGTATGGTAATTGTGGCATCTTCATTGTTGTGAAAGAATTCTTTAAGACTGAGTCAACAAAAGAATTCACCGTGAATGGTCCCTTGAAATAAGTGTTCACTACTTATGCTAAGCAATGTGTTCCACTCTGTATTTACTGTGGCACTCTGCATACATTACCAAGATCTAAAGAGGGGCTCTGTATAAAAACCTGCCTCTCACCAACAGAAGTTGATTCAACCATCCTGACTCTCCGAGAAATTCGCTGTCAGTTACTTGGGCTTGTCTAAATATGGAATTGTCCTACTGAGTCAATGTGTGGATACTCTTATTTCAGAAAAAAAGTACACGTTTCTGTATCTCTTAAGCCAATGGGTTAAAATTAGTTAAAACTTCATTCTAATGTCTATAGTATTCTAATCTGGCTCCAAGGGTTAACAATAACCAGAACAAAGCATAATAAAGCATATTCTTACCGAAGACAAGATTCGGATTTTGCAGGTCACTGGTTTGCAAATTCCTTTAACCAAGGTACTCAGAATCTAAAGAAAGGAAGGGATAAATACTATACATAAGCTACATGAGTAAATCTTGTTTTTGAACCTGTAAAGACATTTAAATACTTCTGTAAAGAAAAATATATAAAAACCCATATCTATAATATTACTTTTTAAAATGCATGTATTTATGTTTACATGCCACTGGAACATACATTGTATATACTTAAATATAAACGTAGGTTGGATAAATTATTTATAATCAAATCAGTTTTTATTTTATTTTCTCTTCTGATTTCACTGGGTCTCTAGACACCATTTTCTACAGTAATATCTTGCTAATCGGCTTTAAGATTTGCTGGAGTGACATTGCTAATGTACATTTCGAAAACAAGCCTGTGGATTTTTCACTGCTATTGGAGTTTCTGTAAAAACTGAATCAATATAAGCTCAATAATTATTTGAGTAGTTCTTAGAGTCCATATTAATAATTCAGACAAAAAGTGCTAAGGGTTAACACAGAATTATGTTTATGCAAATATTGAACTTTCTTGTGCTCAAATTATTATTAGATAGCAAAATCATTAACACACAAACTATTACCAGCCAAGAGCAAAGTCAGTCTCCAAAGCCTGCTGAAGGAATCTGGCACTGCTAAAAGAATATAAGTAGAGCATGAAAGATTTGGCTCTACAAATGGAATTCATAGGGAAATTCATACTCAGAATTAAATTTTTAAGATATTACATTTGTTAATATTACTGCAAAATTGAATTGTTCAAGTATTGGATATAAAAACAAAAATTAGTTAATACAATTTGAAAAATTACAAATATGAATTGAATTAAGTCCTTTAAATATTTTTGTTAAGAATTATTTTATCTGACAAATCATTAGGGAGCAGTTGAACTGGTCATGAGAACATAAGCCCAAGCAACTTTTGCAAACTAAACATAAAAACTTGAGTTTTGTTATTGGAAATAGTTCAACTACATCCTCAATCACCTAATAAATACAATAATATTTAGGTAAAATGAATATTCAGAATATGCACAACTGTTGAGAAAACAATTTCTCTAAAATGATAATCACCTTACAACAGAGACATAGACTTAGGATAAAAACTGATAAACACTGATAACGCTAAGTAAAGATTAATAGTTGAGAATCCTATTTTCAGTCTTCTACTTACAAAATAAGCTATGTTCAACTGTAGTAATAAAATGCTAGCAGTCTTCATGAAAATCTCTACAATAAGCAGAAAGTATGCATGCAAGATAAAAAAGCTCTCTTTCAACCCCCATGAGGCTAAAATACTCTATTTTTTAAATAAAATTTCTAGCTTGACATTTAGATTGTATCTATATTTCTTCTTTTTAAAGCAAACATACTTAGTTGCATTTTCAAATCATAGTTCCTTAAGTCACATGTAAAAAATAGAGCACTGTTTTTTACCCTTTCTAGCAGCATTTAATATGCTACATCAACAGGTAGTGAGACTCTATAAATAATGCTATATGGTTTCTCTGTGACAGCTTCTACAATGTCAATGGCAACTGATGTAGCATACATGTTTAAGATTAAGGCACCTGAAAGGAAGGAGGTGGATTGTATAATTACAGAAATGCAGGCCTCGAAGCAACCTCAAGAATCATCAAGTCCAACCTCCTGCACTAAGGCAGGACCAATTAAACCTAGGCAGATGTTTGTCCAAGTTTTCTTAAAAACTCCAATGATGAGAATTCCACAACCTTCTTTGGAAGCCTATTTTAGTGCTTAAATATTTGTATAGTTTGGAAGTTTTTCCTAATATCTAACCTAAATCTCTCAATAGTCCTTGTTTATAACAGTCCCTCACTCATTTGAAGATTTATCAGGCCCCTCCCTTAATCTTCTTTTTCTCAAGACTAAACGTGCAATCCTTTTTTCACGTGTCAAGTTTTGTAAACCTTTTATCATTTCTGCTGGTCTCCTCTGGACAATACAAAGTGAGAAATGGACATAGTATTCAAGCTGAGGCCTCACCAATGATGAGTATAGCAAGACAATTACCATTCAAGTCTTACATGATTAGGGTGACCATATTCCCATGCCAACACCCTCTTGACCCCATTACTCCTCAGCCAACACCACCCCTGCACTCCCCAGAGCGAGGCTGCTCCCCTAGGGAGCATGGTCGTTACTGCGCTCCCTACTCCTTCGTGCCTCCTCCCTCCCAAGTGCGTTTTCCCCCCCTCCACGGGTAGGATAAGCTTCCTCTTATCCTCATTTAAAACAGGGTCAGGATTTAGTTTTGCCAGGAAAATGGAGGCTCTACAGCTGGAGCCTTGCCACCCTCACCACCAAAGGCATGTGTCTTGTGTGAGAAATATGCCTTGTGCACATCAAACATCAACAAAATTCTGTCTAGCGCTGTGCGCAAAGAAGGGAATCATGGGCTGCCATTCTCTAGCAATTTAAAATGCTCAAGCTAAAGAAATCAGCCCCTCAGCTCCTGTTTTCAGCCCTGCAGGGGTTGCCAGGGTTTGCGGCTTCAGCCCTCAGGAGAGAGGGGTGCTGGGAACTGGAGCTTCAGCTGGGAGGGAGGGGGCACTGAGGATCAGGGCTTCAGCCTGACAGCACTGGGAATTCAGTGTGGGAAGAGCCACCGGGGATCAAGATTTTGCCCCACTGCAGGTGCCAGAGATTATGGTTTCAGTCCTGCACCCTGACAGGGCTGGCAGACCACCGCCCCAACCCTGCTTTATGGTGCACATAGGGAGGGGTGACACACATACCACTCACTCACTCTCACACCCTTATCCCTCTATCACACACAGTCTGCCTAGGTGGATTCCCGTCTTCCTGCCTCTGAACCCTGTCTGAGAACGCCACCTGCTGGCCACTGCCTGCTGCATTCTCCTTCCAGCAGCAAACAGGAGGCAGCTGCAGCTGTGCTGACCATGACTGACCAGCAGGAAGAACACTAGAGCTGAAAAAACAGGGCTTCCCACTGGTGCTCTCAAGGAGAGGCACAGCATGGATCTGGCAGGGCTTTCCCCAACCCCCGGAATGGGGCTGAAGGCCAGGTGTAGGGGTTTGGGGCCACTTACCTGGGCCGGAGGCAGGCAAGATAGTGAGTCCCATCCCCACCTGTCCACAAGCTTGGTGTTGTGGCTCCCCCCTTCCCCAGTGGTCACTCTTCGGTATAGCTGTCCTCTGCACTCACTGTCCCCACTTAGTCGCCTCCTGTTCCATGTTATGGAAACAAATTCCAGGCACATTCCATTTTCCTGGCACAACCAAACCCTGACTTTGCTTTACGTTAGGACAAGAGGAAGCTGCATACTACATGTAGTGATCCTAGCTCTTGCCGTTTAGGAGTTCTTGAACAAAAAGACTTGCAGACGGATGGATGCACAAGTCTCTAAAATAAATATATAAGCACCATATTTTCCTGGGCACATTAAACCAACAAACAGGATACTTACACACTCAATTTTGTCAGGATCAGACAGCAATGCTGCTCCCATACCTCCCTGGGGAAACACATGACAAAATACATTACAGACTTCACACATTAAAAAAATCAACACACTCTTCATTTCATAAAAAGTATTTTACACAACTGCAAACTACAACAAAACTAAACCCTCCCATACAAGCAAAAATGCTTACCTGCAGTTTTAATTACTACAGTATTCAGTAATTAAAAGTTAGGGCACAACGTTATTTGCATATCATTTACTGGCTTGGCTACAAAAGGATTTTAATTAAAAAGAGAATCCAAATATGAAATATATTTGGTGAAAGAGTACAGCTGTACTTATTTGGTGAAATATGAAAACATTATTGATAAAATTACGTCATCAAATGAAGCAGCACCAACTTAGGGAACCGAACACCGAGAAGGTTTTTTGTTGTTTTTGTTTTCTATTTCTTTAAGGAACAGACAGAAATTCCAAAATCGGTACCATTTACTATGATTGTTTTGTTTCTTCCTAGTGGGATGATAAATTCCATGCATATGTTGTTCCTAGCACCATTCAATCGATTGATCAGCCCTATGCAAATAGTCCCAATACTGTCTTCTATACCATGTACCTACACAAGAGTGAGTGATAACACAAAACTACTATTTTAAAAATACAAACTTCGCCTCCTCAAATGTGAATGTTCTTCCCCAATCACCCTGTCTACATACACGCAGTCATCCACTTGTCTAACTATAAGTATTAACATTAGATAGGTTTGGAAATTTCTGGATGGCATACTTTTCTGTCAGAAAAAATCAATTCATTGAAATTAAAACATGTTGCTTGTGGCAAAACATCCACCAGAAGCCAGGCAGGTTTCCAGTTCTTTTCCCGCTGTTTTTTCTGTCCATTGCAACAAGCTATCGGGGTGCATGCCAAATGTTTTTCTCTTTCTTTGCATCTCCTGAAGATGATTTTTTTTCAGTCTTTCCTTCCTTTCATCATGATTAGAAATATGTGCAAGTTTGAGAGGGGAAAAATTAATTCTAGTTAAGTTCCAGTTAAGATACAAAGAAAATATTGAGTAAAAGAAAATAGCATTGAAGAGATTGTAATGCCATTATGTAACTCAACGATGCACCACGATCCAAAATATTGCACCCAGAAAATATCACCTTATTTCAAAAACACGGCTAGAGACTGGTAATGAAAACAGACACATAGAAAAAAAGTAGAACTGTTTAGTTTAGGGAGAAGAGGAACAAAAGAAAGCATGATACATGCACACAAAATAATATATGGTAAAGAGAGGTTCTTTTCTACCTTCTCATTATACAAGAACAAAGGGGGAGTCAAAGAAACTGAAATGCAATAACTTTAAAAGTAATAAAAACAAGTATTTGTTCACAAAAGACACAATTTTCCAGTGGACCTCTGTCACAGGTTTGCCAAGGTTTGCCATGAGCATTTAAACAAAAGGATTAGACATTTATGTAGATGAGACTACAGCAGATAAAACACTTTTTAAAGGGATATAAACTCTCATGCTTCAATAAGCAATTGAAAGGTGTTAAGAAGAAACTTTCCCTTGGGAACTGATTACTCTATAGTTTTCCACTATAAGTTTTCTTGTGTCATCATCTGAATCACATGATACCGACCACTGTCAGACCTTAAGCTAACTCAAGAATTGAAGTTAATATGACTTATTGCAAAGCAACTTTGATATTCTTATGTTCCTTAAGTAACCAATGTCCACAAGGAACACAATTTTCTTGATGGGAAAAAGCACTATTCGTCATTAATATCCTAGAAGGCACTATGTTTTTTTGGTTCATCTACTACAAAACAGACCTAATGCATAACTCCACCTTTCTTCCATCTCATTATGGTCATGTGGCCTAAAAATAAACACCTTTCCTTTCCAAACAGTTTCACATAAAGAAATGTTCCATTACTGGAAAACAGCAGCCCTTTCAGATTGTATCCAGGCTGTGCAATTTCAAGGTAATGTACACAACAGGGACATGTCTGGCAATGAGAGCCTTGGCATTTTTATTACTCCCCACTTAACTGACAGGCTACGTCTCCATTGGCATCCCTTTCCGGAAAAGGGATGCTAATGAGACAAGTCGGAATTGCAAATCCGCGGGGGATTTAAATATCCCCCGCGGCATTTGCATTTACATGGCTGCCGCTTTTTTCCGGCTTATCCCCAAGCCGGAAAAAAGCGGCAGCCATGTAAATGCAAATGCCGCGGGGGGGATTTAAATCCCCCCCGCGGCATTTGCATTTACATGGCTGCCGCTTTTTTCCGGCTTATCCCCAAGCCGGAAAAAAGCGGCAGCCATGTAAATGCAAATGCCGCGGGGGATATTTAAATCCCCCGCGGATTTGCAATTCCGAAGTGTCTAATCTGCATCTCTTTTACGGAAAAGGGGTGCAGTGTAGACACAGCCACTATGTTTTCATACAAGCTAGTTAGTATACAACATGGTCTGATTTCAAACAGATAAGCTCAATAACACACTAGCTATAATAATATATCACAAAATCTGTATATTTACCTAATGCTAAAAAAATATTTCATTGTAAAAATAATTACTGTATGAGCTACTTTGGTCCACCTGCTGCATCCATCTGGGCTGGAGCAGCCCCCCTGCTTCCTGGACCCCGTTTAAGTGGTTAACTGGTTAAACATAGTGTTTAAACAGTTAACTGATTGAACAGGATTTTGTATCCCAAGTTAAACAACATTAAATATCCACACCAGTCTAAAGTAAAACAGGAGAGCAGACTTGCAAAATACTCAGTTAAGAATATGCTTATGCATTTTGCTGGAAATATGGAATAATTTTGAAGAATATGCTTATTCATTTTGTGGATCACAAGATTTTTATATATTTGAGTCTTTTGGACTTTTTTGTTAAATTGGTTTAAAATTTCACCTTTAGTTGAAAGAGTGAAATCTGTGTATACTACAAGAAATCCAACCCCAGAATTGCACAACAATCTTCCTCTTCCAACATACAATCACCCAAAACACATATGAAAATTATGTCAAACCTAAATATGTTCTGAGCAAAATTAAATTATCCTGCTAACAGGGTGGATACAAATCAATTAAAAAATAAAATTGTTTTTATTTAAATCAGATTTTTTGATAAAATGTTTTTTGAGGCGGGGCTAGTGCTGGGATGCTCTAATAGGTAGGTGGGGGCTGACACTGAGGGGCAATGTGACATCTAGGATGAGGAGCTGGCACTGGAGGGCTTTGAGGGTGGGGCAATGATATGCTGGTAATGCTCATACTAATGCACCCCAATATGTCGTTAGCCTTCTTGGCTACAAGGGCACACGGTTGACTCATATCCAGCTTCTCATTCGCTGTATTCCCCAAGGCTTTTTCTGATAAATTGCTGCTTAGCCAGACTGTCCCCAGCCTGCAGCATTGCTTGGGATTCTTCTGTTCTTGCTGAACCTCATCAGTTTTCCTTTAGCCCAATCCTCCAAATGGTCTAGACCAGGGGCGGGGAATCTTTCTTGTGTCAGGGGCAGCTCACCCACAGAAAAAAATCAGTCCGGAGCCACACAAACCCAAAGCTTCACTGATGTGGCCCTCAAGTGGGAAGCAGACACTCCCTACATGCCTGTCACACACAAGTGCCTAGGATGGACCTAGACTAGTAGATTTTGTGGGCCCTCCTATTCTCTGGGGCTGGGTGGGTTGATGGGGCTGGAAGGATGCAAGAGTGGAGTTTTGGGATGCAGAGTCCAGGCTGAAAGGTGGGTGCAGGAGCAGGCTGCAGGTGAGAGGTCTGCTCAGGAGATAGGGTGCAGGAGTGAAGGGGGGTTGTGTGTCTGGACAGGTTGGAGGGCTCAGAGCTAGAGTGCCAACACTAGCTCCCTGATGCAAGGGGGGAAGCCCCAAGCCTTGAGGGCTAGATGAAGACAAGCAGGGGGCTACATCCATGCTCCAGGCCTTAGGATCTCCATCCCAGGTCAAGGTCAATTCAAAGGAAGTTGAAATACCAAACTAAATTTCTTTAGCCAATGAAGATAACCAGAATACTGAGATTCTGGGTTTTATAACCCTTCATTGGAGAAGTTGGGGTTGGACTTAATGATATCCTGACCTCTCTTCCAATCCTCTGATTCTAAGTGTAATGTAGTCATTTACATAAGCACATCGATCCCCCATTCCAAGAAGGATTACATCTGCTTAGAGCAAAGACTCCATGCTTTTCTGTTCCTGCAACAAGCTAATTAGTCCTGTCAGTAGGTTGGTCGGATTAACAACCAGCATGTACAGCCTTCCAAAGACACTGCAATCCTTAACATGAAAAGTTATTTAAGATGGAGAGGACCTTCCAATCATGAAGTCATGCTAAAGAGCATACCAGCAGCCTTTCAGTAAGCCTAAGTGAGTGAGCAATAAAATTCACTTTTGTTTGGTGATAACAGGAACAGGGGGAGTGACTGGATTGCAGTAGAAAAGCCAGCAAAGCGTGAAAGAAGCATGCTTAGCATGGCCCTAGGAGGACACCAACAAAGATTCTTGTAGAGCAGAATAGTGGCTGGAAAAAGACTTGAAATTCTGTTCAAGGAAACTGCCTTCTCTTTCTTCCTACTGTGTTCAGGATAGGGATGTAAAACCCTGGTTAATCAATTAACCAGTTAAAACTTAGGTTTAACCAGTTAACTGATTAAGCAGGATCCCGCTTCTCCCTCCCACCCCCACATGGAGGAGGGGGCAGTTTCTGCTCCCAGCTCCTTCTCTCCCCCACACAGAGTGTCCAGTGCCTGACCCCTATGCGACTGAAGCAGCCCTCTGCCCACGGTGGGCCATGGGTGAGGGGCTGCTTGTGAGTATCGGTTAACCGGTACCCAGTAAGTATCACTTGCTAAGGTGCTTATTAGGCAACTGGTTACCCATTCACATCCCTAATTCAGGGAAATATGACTGCATGCACATTTTTTGTAAATAAGCAGGATAGCACCTAGGAAACACCTGAATTTCATCAAATTCTCCTGCTAATTTAAATAGTCTGCAAGACCCCAAATATTCGCTAACAAATCAGAGAAAAAGGGGCGTAGGGAGGCAGTTTGGCCTCCATTTGACCTGGAAGGAGAAAGGCTCCCTAAAACGTCTTTGTGGACAGGGTCAGAGTCCCCCAGCCCCACTCAAAGGAAGCAGGAAGGCGGGGCTGAGAGTATAAGACTACGAGCTCAGAGCCACAGAGCACTGCAGACACTCTGCCCCAGCTCTCCCCAGAGGAAGGCCCCGTCCTGGAAGGGAGTACTGGCCTGGGCTTCCTGGGCTGCTGCCAGGCCCAGACGACTGGGTTGGGCCACCGTGGGCCCAGAAGAATGGCCAGTGCTGACACAGTTGTCGCCAAGCCCCAAAGATTGGCCTGGATGGCCAGGGCTCCTGCTGGGCCCAGGAGATTGGGCTGTGACACCTGCACTGCTGCTTGACCTCCACAGCCCATGGAAGCTCTGCCAGCACCATTGTCTCTGGCAGACACAGAGGAGCAGAGACTGAGAGCCAGGTAGGCCCCAGGGGAACCAGGAAGCAGTCCAGGGATAGCCGACACTGGGTCGGCTGAGGAAATGGAGGTCAACTGGGCAGTGTGTGGAGGTCAGGATCTCCTCTGACCCAGTGGCAGCCCCCGCTGCCACTGTTAGGGCCCTGGGCTGAGACGCAGAGGAGCAGGTGGGCCTGTGTCCCCCCTTGCTACTCCTCACCTTGGATGGCAGGTTGCCCCTGTCAGGGTAAAAACCCCTCCACCAGCGAGGAGACCAGACCACCGCTCAGCATGCAGATAGGCCTAAGCTTTGAACTGTTTAATTGTGTTCTTGTTGCCCCACCCAGACCTTAGTTGGATCTTAACTATTTGCTCAGCCTGCCAGCAGGGCTTAGCCCTTAACTGTTTGCTTGTTGCCCACCCTGATCAGGGCTGGGGCACTGAAGTACAGTATGGACCAAAGAGAGCCTGTGAACTGCTGCTCAGCCAAACCATTGGCCTGAGCCCCAGGACCCTTGACTGCTTTGCCTTGCACTAGGGCAGGACACATGAGCTATTATCTGGCCAGGCCATAGGCCAGAGCCCTAGACTGCAGCAGGCCAGCCCTGTAGCCAGGCTTGACAGGCCTCCCAACTGGTTGGGATGCAGAGTAGTGCGGCAGCTTGGCCTCCTTCAGCCCGAGACCAGGATAGGGGGTAACAATAAAATGACTGATGCTTCTAATGGGCTGGACAAATACAGTTAATAATTCACAAATAAGGACAAGAGATCACAGTTGCAGCCAAGAATAAAATGATTAAGTGCAACTATAAATAACTGAACAGTCATAAGATTAAGAACAGGGTAAAACAAATAAAAATGTGCCAAGACCAGAATGTGTGTGTCATCCTGTGTATTAAAATCAACCTGCCTTAGTAGAATATTCTTTGGGACAGCCCATGTTGATATCAATTCCAGCTACATCATTCTCTCTGAAAAGAAAAGAACAAAAAACCCTTGCAAATATTCCAGACTAGAAAAGGAAAAAAGCATCTCGCCAAAGAGCCTACTCCATCTCTAAGGAGTTCAGAGACGGATTTGAAGTTTGGCAATTTTTTCCAAACCTCTGAATCTTTCATCTTCTCACTAGTTTATACCCAGCCACTTCAATACTCATCTAAGAATTTAATTTGCCTTTATGAAAGAATTCAAAGACGCTGAGTCTAAGGGAAGTTAGGATGTTCTCCCTACATACTCAAGCCCAGCACTATATTGTTTTATAAACTTTTTCAAAAATAAATGAGAAATCATGAGAAATGTTTCTTAGGTGATCTTATGTGGGTTTAAAAGTTAAATTCTTCACCATCTCAGAAGCAAAACTTCAAATGTTTTTCTTCTATTTAACGTACGTTATCTGGCTGAGCACTAAAAATCACGAAGAATACAAGTAATTGGCCAACAGGGCTTTATCAGCACCCATAGAAAAACATGTTGCGGACAAAGACCTGGCATGCCTATTACCAACTTGCACAGCAGTTACTAACATGAAAACTGATTGCTTGAGCAGCTGCTTCCTTGAAAAAAATAATTACTGTGAATGGGAACAGGAATACAGGCAGTTCATGCTGTTCCCCTGCTGATCTTTCTAGATTGGGAGGGGCAAGGGGAGGAGGAGGGCAAGGGAAGGAGAGGGAGGTGAACCTTTTTGGGGGTTGGGCCACTGACCCCACAGAAAAATCAGTCGGGGGCCACACATGAGAAGCAAAACAAAACAAAATCTTCACTGATGTGGCCCCCGACTGAAAAGCAGAAAGACACGCCACACATTCGCCTCACACACCAGAGCCGACGGGGGCCCAGGCCAGTAGATTTTGTGGGTCCCTCTACACTCTTGGGTGGGACGCTCAGTATGTGTGTGAGGGGTTCAGTATGTGGGAGAAGGCTGCCAGGAAGTGGGCTTAGAGTGTGAGATCTGGGTGGGAGGAAGGGTGCAGAACTGGGCAGGGAAAGCTGAGTGGGTCGTAGGGTGCAGGAGTAGGGTGGGGTGTGCAGGAGCACAGTGCGGGTGCAGCTCCCTGGGGACATACATGGCTCCCGCTGCTCCCAGGCAACGCCCCTTGCTGTTTCTATTGGTCGTGATTATGGCCAAAAGGAATGATGGGGGAAAAGTCTCCAGGTGCTTTGCTGTGCTACCATTCCCCAGCTGGGGGTGGGGGAGCAGCAGCAAGTGGTGCTCCTTCCTCCCCTGCCAGGCACAGCCCATGGATCAGATCTGGCCCCCGCAGCGGGGAGACAGCACTGGCACTCCAGCCTATGGGGAAAGTTGCAGGTAGCCACGGAGCTGGAGCACCAGCATGGCCCTGCCCAATGCTGGGGAGAGCCCTGGGCCTTTGGAGCCAGATCCTGGCAAGCAGGGTGCTTGTCCCAGCTCCTGGGCCATAGGTTCTCCATCCTTGTTCTAGATAGTGAACTCTGCTGCAACTTGCTGGGCACCAGGATATGGAACTTTTGTTTACCTTGGTAGCTCTGCTAATCACACAGGGCTCTTATACCTTACTTCTCATCTCTACAAATATTTGTTTCCCCTTTCAAGACTTATAAATATATAACAATAAAGACTAGGGAAAAATACATCCAACTGTATCAGAAGTTTTTAATGCCTGGTTTCAAATGATAGCACTAATTGGATAAAAGCAAAAAGTTAATCTTACAGATTAAATTTACATCTCTGGAAGCCATGGGGAAAAATTATTTTATGATAAGATTTTATGACAACTTACACAAGCTTGGCTACGGCCAAGGCTCTCTCAGCATCTGCTGATCCCTGTTAGGCAAAAAGGATATAATCAATATCTGTTTACTTTATACTGTTTTATAATAAATGTGTTTGTGTAGGTATACACATTTTATACACCATTCAGAATGGATATATGTGAAACCTAACACAGATTCACTAGTAGATAGCAAAATCAGTCAGTTAAAAATTATCTGAAGTCAGCATAATGTGTGAGGTGAAGAATGTACTTAACTTTAAGCTGCATCAGGGCCCACTACGTAACACAAATATCCTGCATTTTTAAAAGTCTAGATTGAATTTTTGTTTTAATGTAATAAAACATTATATTTGTAATAAATACTGTTCCTTTTTCTTATAAATATCCAAGTCTTGGCTGAACTACCATGACACAGGCATGCCTTAACTGAGAACAGTGTGACTGCAGTCCTGTAATCCTTCCCCACTGACTCTTACTTGAGCTATCAAAAAACTTATTTGGGGCAGAACAGTGTCCTTCTTTCTTCTGTGAAGTGTATGGCATTATGAAACATTAAACATCACTTACATATACATATGAGCCAGTTAACAAAATGAGTGAAGAAGGAAAACAAAGAATGCAGATTAAAAAGAGCTAATCATTACTAAAACTTTCTACTAAACACAAATGTCATAGCTATGTGTTCTGTTCAATTATATTACAAACAATGGTAGAATACATATTTCATTGTAATTGAGTTTTGATACTAGTATGTTTGAACACATGGCTAAGATAACATGCTCTACAACAGCGGTTCTCAAACTTTTTGGGCTCCAGAGCCCTTTACATGCGTAAAAATTTATTCAGAGCTCCAGCGGTCCACTGATTGTATGTGTTGTACCTACCAATGTTTCCAGTTTGTCAACCTCACAGAGCCCCTGGAGATGTCTCATGGAACCCTGGGGCTCCAAGGAGCAGAGTTTAAGAAACACTGCTCTAGAAAGAAGTTATATCTGTGGCCTTCAATATACATGTTGGATACCTATTCTGTTGAAAACTTACTAATGGCGGTTTGTATAAAAATAGTTTAGAAATCTTAAAATACCATCAGTGTGAAATTAGAGTCCCGAAAGAATAACCTTAGCTGAGAAATCTGAGAGTTGATAAACATCTGGCAAAGACCTGTATTTAGACACATCTCAGTACAGTGCTAGTAAAAACTAATCTACTTTGATTTCAGAAACGTAACTTTTCTTGGTATCTTACCATTTGAAAGACAACACAATCTCTCTCTCTCTCACAGGTTCTGAAAACAACTCTTTCGTTAGGAGCTACAAAATCCACTGTTTCAAGCACCTCTACATGAAATAGGAGACACAAAAATGGAAAAAAATAAATATAGATAAATATAATCACAAAATAAGCCTGATGAAGCAATTAAGAAATGCAGTGTGCATATACATGAAATTCTACCAAATAGGTCTGCAGTCCTTAATGTCAGAATCCATAAAGCTTATCAAGAAACAATGCAGAGCTGAGCCATATATGTACAGATATCATAATTTCTGAACCAAAAATGGGGGCACATGATATAAGGGCCCTACCATCAATCAAGCATTAATCACGTCCCCTGAACTCATTAGCCACCCCCAACCTCTTAGGCCCTACCCACCTTCCACAGGAAGGCCCACACTTGAGTTAGTACTTCGGTGTCAAGAGGGACACATGGCCGGAAGTAAAGGGTATCATGTGACCCCTTCACCCTCCTCCCATCACCCTCTACCAATTAGGAGGGGTTTAGGTCCTGTAGGATGTCCCTGAGAACAGATTTGACCATTCGAGGGGAGTTACGAGGTGGGGTGAGCGGTACGGAACAAGTCTTCTGACCCCTCTAAGAACTCATTCCACTACCCTCTACCAATTGTGAGGGGTTTGGGCCCTAGAAGACCATCCTATCACTGCATAAGAGAGACCATCGGGGTGTCGGCAGGGCAGTGAGTCAGGGGGCTGGTGGTGCAGGGTCTCAGCAGGGCGGTGAGTGAGTAGGCCGGTGGTGCGGGGTGGAAATGGTGATTGAACAGGCTGGGAGTGCGGGGTCTCAGTGGTGGTGGTGAATGAGTGGGCTGAGAGTGCAGGGTCTCAGCAGGGCAGTGAATGAGTGAGTGGGCTGGGAGTGTGGGGTCTCGGCATGAGGGGTGGGAGGGTCACTTACTGGCTTTCGTGCCGCTTTCAGGCATGCATGGTTTCCTGCTGCTCCTATTGGCCAGATTCCATACACTGCCCTTTCTCTTCCCCAACTTTGCAGGGACGTACTTCCTGGAGGCTTTCCACTTTGCTCCCATTGGCCAGAATCCAGTGAATGGGAGAAGCAGGAGGCCATGTTACACGCTAGCTGTGACATGGCACTAAAGCAAGTAAGTGGGAGCCTTGGGGCTCCCCCCCCCAGCCAATATGTTGGAATTTTCAGGACATTTTAGTGCTTTATGGGGACAACAAGATAGTGTATTTAAAATTGTGACTTTCCCAGAAAATCTGGGATGTATAGTTGGCATACAAATATGCAAAATCAGCTAGACTGATGAGTTCATTGTATTATAATACAAATTTAACAGCACAGATAACTAATCACCACAGCCAGTGTTTTAGCCCACACACAGATATTTGTCAAAAAACATTGTGGTTTTAGAATCAGGGGATGAAATGCAAAACTTTCTGCTGAGCATCCTAGTTATTTAATTTTTAACAAAAGCTGTTTATGAAAGCATATGTAGAAACAATTCTAAGTTATTTCCCTGAAGGGCAGAACAGTTCTTCTGTTCTGTAAATGACACACTTTGCTAGCTCTTCTAAAGACAATGTTAGGTTCAAATTTGTTTTATTTTTAAATTCCTTTGCCTCTGCTATTAACAATGCACCTCAAGCCAACCAGGGCCTAAAGCTGATGCAGAACCCAGAGGTAGGTAGTGGTTATGAATAGGGTTACCAGGTGTCCGGTACTGACCAGGGCAGTCTGGTATTTTCGCCTCCTGTCTGGTAAAAAAATTCAGAAAATAGCAGACACCTAAAATGACACCTATTTTCTGATTTTTTTTTTCCACAGCCAGGAGGTGAAAATACCTGGCAACCCTAGTGCCTGGGCCGAGGCCCTACCCCCACTCCCCGGGCCCTGACATTCCCAGTCCCCATGATTACCTGGTCCCATAGGGAAGCTAAGTTCTGGCTTGAACAAGAATACAAAATGGCTGCCAGCAAAAAGCCTAAAGACCAAGGGGAAGCAATGCTCCTGTTCCTATCCCTATTCTAACTTTGCACTCACTCTGAAAGGGGCCATGGTGTTTTAATATTTTATTTTTTTGCTTAATAAGTCTCGCAGCAGTCCTTTTTTTTGCCCCCCTCCCCACCCTCAACAGAATTTTTTCCCTGGTGTTTTTTTGGGGGGATGGGGGGTGGCTGTTCGGTATTTTTGGTTCAACCGTCTGGCAGCCCTACTTATGAATAGGATCAGACATGGATTCTTCTCCACTGACTTCCCAGCAGTTTCTTAGTACAGTTTGAATTATTGATTTGGTTTTTAAAAGCCCTAAATGTCTTAAAATCTGACACCTTGAAGGACAACCTTGAAGGAGGCGGGGCCTCAGGCAGAAGGGGTGGGGCCGCAGGCGGTAGGTCATATTTTAATGACCATCACATGTTTTATCCCCCCACTTAAGTACTACTCTTTCAGAAACAACTGTGCCACAGATTTTATTAAGAGCTGTTATAGAAAAGCTCAAAGGGGGGAAGAAAATTGTGCGGGTTACTAATGTAACATTTTCCAGTGAATACTTGATCATTTTAGTTTTGTAGAGCACATATCACTTTCATGAAAAGGCATAAGGCACTGAAAATTAATACTTAGCCCTGCCATGAGTGCAGGGGACTAAACTAAATGACTTTGAGGCCCTTTCCAGACTTATGATCCATGAAATAGTACAGTAAAACTCCAACTGTCCATCACCCAGTGGTCTGGCACTCCCGATAGTCCGGCACCAACTGGAACCCGGAAGTGCTCCGGCCAGCCGGACAATTGGACCTTCTGTGAGCCCCATGGGCGCTTGCAGCTGGGAAAGGGAAGGGGATAACGGCTGAGGGTTCACCCTATGCCGCACCATTCCCCGCCAACCCCGCCCTCCCGATCCTTCACAGCCCCCCTTCCGGATTATCGGAAGTTTACTGTATCTAAATCCCTGTTTTTCCTCCCACCCATACTAAGCATATTCAGTTATGTTTTATGAGTTACAAAAGATTCCTACATTTGACTATAAAAATGGCATCTAAATATTTTTATCAAAACCAGTTGTAAAGAGATAGGTTATTAGGCATTTAAAGCTACTTCTTGAAGGAAGCTACTAAAATTTCCAATGATTAACTTTTTGAAACTCCTTGAAACACAGGAGCACTTCAGAACACAAATTAGAGAGGAGATTCCTGAATCTGCACCGTCCTTTGTGGGTGATGAATCTGAGGAACTGTCCCGGATTGAAGTGTCATTAGAGGAGGTTTTGGAACAAATAGAAAAACTTAATGTTAACAAATCTCCGGGACCGGATGGCATTCATCCAAGGGTTCTAAAAACTTAAATGTGAAATTGCTGAGCTATTATCTGTGGTTTGTAACCTATCCTTTAAATCGGCTTCCGTACCTAATGACTGGAAGGTAGCCAATGTGACACCAATATTTAAAAAGGGCTCTAGAGGTGATCCTGGCAATTACAGACCGGTAAGTCTAACTTCAGTACCAGGCAAATTAGTCGAAACAATAGTAAAGAATAAAATTGTGAAGCATGTAGAAGAACATAATTTGTTGGACAAAAGTCAACATGGTTTCTGTAAAGGGAAATCCTTTCTTACTAATCTATTAGAGTTCTTTGAAGGGGTTAACAAACATGCGGACAAGGGGGATCCAGTAGATATAGTATACGTGGATTTTCAGAAAGCCTTCGACAAGGTCCCTCACCAAAGGCTCTTGTGTAAATTACATGGCCATGGGATAAGAGGGATGGTCCTTTCTTGGATTGAGAACTGGCTAAAAGACAGGAAACAAAGGGTAGGAATAAATGGTACATTTTCAGATTGGAGAGGGGTAACTAGTGGTGTACCCCAAGGGTCAGTCCTGGGACCAATCCTTTTCAACTTATTCATAAATGATCTGGAGAAAGGGGTAAGCAGTGAGGTAGTAAAGTTTGCAGATGATACCAAACTGTTTAGGATAGTCAAGACAGAAGCAGACTGTGAGGGACTCCAAGAAGATCTCACCAAACTGAGTGATTGGGCAACAAAATGGCAAATGAAATTTAATGTGGATAAGTGAAGAGCAGATTTTACAACCTAATCTGTTAGTATAAAATGAAGGTCTGTTTAAAGACAATAGGGATGTGTTATGTACAAGGCCATATGCTTTTAAGCAGCCACTAGGCAATAGATAAACCTGAGTTCTTAGGGAAAGGGTTGGACTCTGGTGGCAGGCATAGTAAGGGACAGGCCAAGCCATGAGCTTTCAAGTGAGAAGTCAGAGGGAGTGTGGGCATGGCGTCAGAGCAGGGTAGGGACTTACATGGTGCCAGTCTGTTTGGCAACCCCCCTCTTTGCCAGGAGAGTGCAACTTTCCCTCCCTGCAGGAGTGGGAGGGGGGAGAGGGTCTGGGCATGGCAGCAGAGCAGGGCGGGGGGTCATATGGCACCCGTATTTTTAGTACTTCCCATTTGCCAAGAGTGCAACTTTTCCTTAACACAGGAGTAAGCGGGCAGGAGTGGAAAGGGGGCGGTCTGGGCGTGCCTGCCCCGGGATCAGTACCTGACTAAGAGAAAATTGCATGTGTCACTAATGTAGCATTTTCCAGTGAATACTTGATCATTTTAGTTTTATAGAGCCCACATCACTTTTATGAAAAGGCGTAAGGCACTGAAAATTAATACTTAATCCTGCCATGAGTGCAGGAGACTAAACTAAATGACTTTGAGGCCCCTTCCAGGCCTATAATCCATGAAATAGTACCTAAGTACCTGTTTTTCCTCCCACCCACACTAAGCATAATCAGTTAGGTTTTATGAGTTACAAAAGATTCTCGCATTTGACTATAAAATGGCATCTAGATATTTTTATCAAAACCAGTTGTAAAGAGATAGGTTATTAGGCATTTAAAGCTACTTCTTGAAGGAAGCTGCTAAAATATCCAATGATTAACTTTTTGAAACTCCTTGAAACACAGGAGCACTTTAGAACACAAATTATTTTTTTCAATTAGAATATTTATTTAGTGAAATGAATGGTATATGCATGTGGTTTATTAATTCATTAAAAAACACTCCCAAATAAAACCA